TGTCTATCGCCAATTTCTGACCAACACAATGGGGATTTGCACTTGCGCCATATAAAGCTTCATAAGGTGCACACTGGATACTGGTATGGTAGCTGTTATTGTATGCAAATTCCACTAACGGTAGATGCGTATCCCAGCTTCCTCCAAAATCTATAACACGGCCACCAAACATGTCTTCCAGGGTCTGGATTGTTCTTTCGGTCTGACCATCAGTCTGGGGGTTGTAAGAGGTGCTTAGATCTAGCCGTGTACCCATCCCTTGTTGGAGTGACTGCCAAAACCTTGACGTAAAACGACTGTCTCTATCCGATAGAATGGAAAGAGGTACTTCATGTCTAGCGATAATTTCGTTTATATAAATCTGAGCCAACTTCTCCATCTTATAATCTTCTCGGATGTAACATTGCATTAGTAAAAAATAATTTTTATTTTGGTAATTGGGATATTTTTTTGAAAAAAATCTTCAATTTAATATCTGAATTTAAAAAAAAACGAGATTTGTAATGAAAAATAGATTTTATTACAATAATTTTTTAAAACAAATGAATTTTAGTTATTTTTTTATAATTATTTTGCAATTTTAAATATGACGTGTAATATTAGTTTTAAAATAAAAAATTAATATGACGTGGAGTATCTATACTATCTTATTAAACAGATTCCCTCAAAATCTTAAAGTCTTAAAATTATAAATACCTAAAATACCCTTTACTTTACCTTTACTTTTTAAACATCTTTTACCCCCAAACCGTCGGCTCCCATTTACCCAAAAACCCTTCCCTTTACCCGGCTCCCCTCCCCCAAGACGACTTTTCAGAAAAATCGTTCCTCCCAAGATGACGATTCATCTATACATCCTCTCCCGAGATGGCGATTCCCTTTAAAAAAGAGCTTTCCATCGTTCAGTCGTCCATCTCTCTGTTTTACTCTCGCTCTCCATCACCGATCATTCAACCCAAATCACTGTTGAAAGCATTTCAGGTAACAATGCGATTTTATGTGTTTAGGTTTTGCTGATTTGGATTTGTTTAGGTTTTGGTTTTGCTGATTTGGATTCATTTATGTGTTTAGGTTTAGGTTTTGCTGATTTGGGTTTGTTTAGGTTTTGGTTTTGCTGA